AAGAGAAGCGTAAACACCTCTTCCGAACTCTTGGCATCGTTGTCACATAACAAAATCCTGACTTTGCTTCTATCGATGAATCCATCGCCACACTTACTATTACTTCCAGCAACAACAACAGATTCTTTGTTCAAATTAAGTTCCTCAGTCTCCATAACACAAACTACAAGGAATCACCGAAATATCTCAAAGCAAGCCTCTAAATCCATCAACCAGGAAAATTCAAAGAACAAAAGCCCCCGTGAAACGGAGCCTCCTGAACACCAAACGCAGTCACACGTGAATTTCATCATCGTCAAGCCTACAACCTTGATAAGCCAATACTAGAAAATATTATTCCCAGCCCCAATCAGGACTAGCACAAAAAATTGAATGAGCTCTGTTCAGCAAAATCATCGAATCAAAACTCATCCGCGGAAAGCTCCCCTATTCGCAAATATACCTAGCCTCAGCTATTATGTTCAAACGTTACCCATTAATGTTCGGGCACGAGCTGTAGAAATTCACTATATGACACCGAAGTACGAATGGGCAAGATCAAAACAGAGACTGGTCCCAGATGAATCAACCATCTGGATTTGGATAACAAGGAAGAGCGCGAGTCAGCAGACCCCAAAAAATCCGATCTTTTCCACCCCACCGGTCGGCGACAAATGCAGAACTGGGAATGAGTGAAACTATGAAAGAGAACCAATTCAAGCTTTGAGCTTTTGGTCTTTGGATTGTAAAAAAAAAAAAAAGTGCAATTAACAAAGACCAAGTGGGATGCTGGTGAAGACTAATGTGCGCCGGTGAAAGAGGAAGGGGCAAAGCAGCGGATGGGACATAGGCGGGGGAGGCGCAATGAACGCGGGGCGTAGGATAGCCAAAAAGATGACGTGGAAAGGCCAGAGGAGAGAGAAAAAAGTGCAATTGAAAAAGGGTGAGAGAGTGGGTGTGGGTGAGTGTGTGGGATAGTGGGTAGAGATAGAGAAGAGGGTAGATCTCCGCTTCGCTCCGCAATTCCTTCATTTCTATGTCAAAATATCTTTCAGATTTTATTTCTACCATATATCTCATTACGATATTTTTCTGTGTATCCAATCATCTTTATTATAAATTTACGTGTAAAATATAACAACCATGATTATCAAATTATTTGATTCCAAAATATCTTTCTCACCCAGGTCCAAAATAGAAAATATCTTTCTCACCATTCCGTCCACGCGGGGTAAGGTACGATATAGGACCGACCGCCTAATTCATTTCATTAATCTTTTTCTTTTGTGTTTCATCTGATGAACTAATTAAAATTGTCTCAAAATCTCAAGACTAATGGAATCTAATCTAAGGATTCGCAGGGGAGAACGTGGGAGAAAAAATTGCTTAAAAAAGAATTAGTGGTATTCATCCTTAAGAAAGATTGTTTTATATTTCATAGACATGTCTGTCTTTGCCTTCTTGTTGCTTTTTGGCCTGAAGTGTCTTTCTCTTTCAAACATTCTTTTAGGAGCAGTGCTATATGCTGTATCGTGGATATATGTTGGAAGAGCCTTTTAATTATTGGATTAAACGAGGGCGGTTTGGTCAGAAAAAGGAAAACGACGGTGAAGGATGCCAGACTTGTCTTGTTGATTAGTGAAACTTCCGAGTTATCCAAACATAGAATAAAAGGGAGAAAAAGGACACAGCATCCATGAAGAATGGTTGGTTCACAAGCAAAACAATAGAGAAGGTATGGCCAACCAAGTTGTTAGGTTTATATTTCCGACAAAGGTTTCAGAACCCTCCAACTCTATCCCATGATTCTTTTTTCCTCTTTTTAAGATTCCAATAATACGTGACACGGATTCACAAAGCTCAAATCAAGGTTACAATGATATAGTGTATCAATACTAGTTAAGTCTAACTTATGCAATCGTATATTAAGCTTTCCGTACTTTGGTTTTATTTGGAAATTTAGTGTAAGGCATACAAGTATATTATCAAATTCGCATAGTACTAGTACAAAATTCCTTAAAAGGGGAAAAAAACAAACAAAAGCAGGACATGTGGCCTGTGAGAGTAAATGATAAGTATTTATTATGACTAGAAGCTTGAATTGTGAGAGAAGCAAATCTTCATGTTAACAATTTCGATTCAAGAAGGCCCGTATCTGAGTCAGCAGTAACGGAAACTAAAAAAACAGCGGCAGAGGTCTTGAACATGCATTGAATTCCCATCTGACGTCTTTTTTTAATTTCTTATTCCCAGGGTCTCATATGTAATTCACAAATAGCGCCTCCCCACAAGAGAGAGCCCGTGTTAGCAGAATACTTGAAAATTTTCAAATAAATTGAAGCTCACAATGGAATCAACTTTACAACTTAACCAATATTCATTCTATCAATCCTAACTATATGAATTTGATAATAATTTATTATTTGTCTGCTAATTTGACATGTGTCACCTAGTCACCACTTATTCCTTCTACTTGCAATTAATGACCAATTTTTTAGCAATCAATCTAATCCCTGCGTTCTGATAATAGTCATATGTTTCTAAGGAGAAGACCGCATCAACAAATGCCCCAGCTTTGAACAAGGAACCGAGCTCCTCCGCATCCAACTTACTGAAGAGCAGCCTTTGAACAGTGCCTGATGATTCTTTCTGGTATATTTCAGCTGCATATATGGCAACGTTCCCATATACTGCTGTAGGTATCCTATAATGTCAATATTTACAAAAATCAGTTTAATTCTCAGGAAGGGAAATTTCCAAAGGCTCAATATCTCGTAATACTACAATGTAATGTCAATCACGTGGAAGACTGAAAACCCAGCCCAAGACTAGTTGTTTGTTACCCATTATATTTGTTGAAGTGAAGACGTGATCTCTACTGATCAGAAAGAACAGATTTGTGTGTGTGTGTGATGCACGCATTTTATATGGGTAGGATATGAACTTACTGCAATCGCATAGTGGGATAATTGAAGAAGCCATCTTTTCTTGCAACAACTGGTCTCCAGTCAGAGCTGCTACCGGATTCCAAAGATGACTTGTGTACAATACCGTCACAAGCTTCAAGAACCTCACATAGACGTTGTGATGGAGCAAGATCAACCACAAAACTCAATTTTGGTCGGCCTGCATGATCCTGAAACTTGCCGTTTACTCCAAACCGTATTTTCAGATCAGTACAGCAAAGCTGAAAGGGGGAACCTTTGTGCAATAGTTGTATCCTTTGACTGCCACGATAAAATGGAACAGGAGATGCTGTGAGACAAGAGATGGATATTTCATCAGGATTCAAAGCAGCAACAGCGCTGCTACATGCCTCAGACATCTGGGATGTCTCTGGAATGGGCTTTTCATCCACCATGACAGATGGTTGAATCGATTCCCTGTTTAATTCATCACGAAGCTGACTCAAGTCAAATCGACGCTCTTGAACTACATTAGCATCTCCTGTATTTGATTCAGAGCTTCCTGAGCTGCTGATTGCAATAGGAGAAGATGGATCATTTCCCTCTTTGCATTGATTCTCGACAGGTGATAATAACATGGATTTCACTTTCATATCTGATGAGGCCCTATCTGGTAAAGATTTTCCATTGCTACGACTTCTTGTAGTAGCATTTGGAGAAACCCACCTATCCACTGGAAAAATGTCTGGACGAACTGATTCCTGCATGGTTGGAGGGATTATGAAATAGAATCAGGACTCAACATTTGACGAGTCAAATTTCAATTCACAACTCACGAATTGTACAAGAAAAGAATCATCACATTTAACTAGTCCAATTGACTCAATACAAGCCAATTATTATTAGTATCTAGCACTAGCTGCAAAATAAAACAATATGCTCCTGAAGAGTTTACCAAGAACAGATAGATCACAATGAAATTCTCCAAAGTAAAATTTACCAAGAACCTAACAGCTGCACAGTGTTTGAGAACTTCCAGATTCATGCGAACATCATCTAAGCTCCTGAAGATTTGTAGCAGAAAAAGTAAGCAAAATGAAATTATGATAGCCGGCTTACAAGAAAGCGCTACATATAATTCCATTGATTGGTTTAGTTACCTATGGGTCTGTCGTCCAAGCCCAAAATACGTTGCAAGACTTGCCATCTGCAGTGAACATATGAATGCGTATAAACTTGAAGAATTAGGAAAAGCCAAAGAGATAATATCTGACAGAAGTTTATTCTTTGTATGGAAGTTATTAGAGCGCACATTTAAAAAAAAAGAAGATAATTCTGAAAAATAAAAAATCAGATAGATGATAGGCATGTCTAGAAAATCAGATGCATCCTCTAAGTGTGTTATGATGAACTTTTCCGAAGTGGAGTTTTTATTAGTCGTAGACATTCGTTCAGCAGAGGTAAACATAGCGTGCCATAAAATAAAGGAGCAGTACCTTCATGTCACCAGCTCTTCTTCCAAACTGGTGAGTCAACAAAACCAACGAATCAATGGTACCCTTGGGTTCCGGTGGTGGCCGATTAATCTCAGTAAATGAATCTCTGACGCGAACACAGTCAAATCTTAAGATGTTATGGCCGGCCCAAATCCGTTCTACACAAAATTCAGAGAAAACAAAAAAAAGAAAGAAAAAATTAAGAATTATAACCGCAATTTGCCGCCTAATCTATAGTTTTTTTTTTTTTCCATTTTTCTCAATCACAAAGCAAAAGAAACAAACAGAAGGGACAAACCATGAAGAAGCTCGTAAACATCATCGGCGATGTCAGCGAAAGTAGGCGCTGAGGCAACAGCATCACGAGTTATGCCGTTGCAGCGTTCGGACAAGGGGGAGATAAGTGAAGGGTCGGCGGGTCGGACCAAGGTGGAGTAAGAGCTGAGCTCTGTTAACTTCTTGGGGCAAACCAAGATGGCGCCAAACTCCAGAATGGCAAAACCCTGCCCAGATCGGGTTGGGACGGTGGTTTCGACGTCGAAGAAGACAATTTCGGACCGATCTTCAGCAGGACCCATCAAGGTCGACGAGAATTTCAAGCTCCAAGCTTGAAGGATGAAATGGAAAGAAGGGAAGCAGAGGAATAGCGGGAATCTTTTCGTTATGAAAGATGTACTTGCTGATTTGATGTCCGCGTGAAATTAAAACACGGCGGGCATGGCCGGATTTAAAACAAGACGGCTCTGCTTTCGAAATTGAGATTGCTTCTTCGGTCGGCTTTCTTTTTGGGCTCACAGGCTCGATTTGGATTTGGACCATGACCGAAGACACCTCTGTCTTTTTCTTTTGGGAGAAAAAAAAAAAAGGAAGTGATTAAATGAATATTTTTTAATTGTCTTTCAAAAGTAAATAAAAAATACTAAACCGCTTGAAATGTCTGAGGAAGAAGGACAGGGATGAAGTCCTTTGATTTTTTTTTTAACCAGAAGGATGAAGTGTTTGATAATTTTGATAGCAAAATTAAATAAGTATTTTTATATATATTTAAAATCAACATGGTGTTTACATAATTTTTTCATTTTATTTATGTTGATTCCCGTTTTTCTTTAAGAATATCCCAATTGAAAAGGTATTAATTTAGTTGTTATACAACAACTTACTGCCGTGGATTATATTAATTTGACTTTATATCAAAAGTGCTCCGAAAATATGCGAATAATAATATTGTCCCTACGTGCCCTGGGAAATTAAGAAATAACGTGACCTGAAGGGAATAATAAGAAGATGCCTCGTTTAAAATATAAGGTGACCTATACGTATTTACAATTACATTTAGACTCCAACCTAAATAATAATAAGAATAATAACAACACCCAGACGCAACATGGGTTTAATTGTAATACTATAATATTATTCATTGATAAAAATGTAAGCTATTAATTTATTATGTGCCTTGCTTAAATTAACCCACCTAAGAGGTAGAATATTGGGGGAGGAATCAAGGTATATCTGCAATGAAGGGATGAATTTGCCTTGGAGAGAAAGGAAAAGGAAAGGAATCAAGGAAGGAAGGAAAAAGAATTTTTGGAATCCAAAGGGCATTTTCGTTGGGTTCATTGAATGGATATTCATCTTGAATCATCCAAGCTGTGGCCATAATTCACGCACGAAATTATTCAGGATGAAATGTGTGCTATATATGCATACTCATATTTAGAAGTTATTGTATCAATAAAGCAAACTATTTCTTTACATGCACTCACCACATATAATGACTAAACATATAGTAAAAAAATATTTTATATCTCGAAAGGACTAAAAACTTAATTTAAATAATATAGCACTTCTGGTTAAGATTTAATTTAATCCTAGGTACAAGATATCAACCTATTTTATCTTTTAAATTTATAATTTTTTTCATAGTATCCCTATTAATTATATATAATTAGGGATTTTTATATGTCAAGAAGTGTTATAGTGCACATGCTTAGAAAATATATTATAGAAGAACTAAAGCAATTTATTACAAATAACTAATTTAACTAATTTTTTAGTATTTATAAATTAATTATTTAATTAGTTTTTATATTAGAGATTGGAGGGGGTATATATATGCACATGGATTGATTTCTTAATAATGTTATTTATATTCAACAAAAAGAGTCCTCATTTAGTGCTCATCGTGTGCTCATCTATGTAATGTAATATGAACCCTCAAAATCTAATATGGATTGTTCAGATTTAAAATTTTTAAGATATCGTTCTTTCAATGACGAATTTATTTTTAAAGTGTTAGTTATAAGATTATTTTTATTTTGATATCTATTAAATAATTAAAATACATAAAAAATTAAATTCAATGTGGACCATCTAAAATTATCTTAGATGATCCAATGATGAGCATGTGCTCCCACTTTCTTAATATATTAGTCATTGGAGCCATCTAAATAATATAATCTCCTATAGCCTAAAATAATTTAGCAATGTGATAATCGAACAGATTGCGTGGATGAGATGAAGATTTGATAATCAAATGAACGACTAAGATTACTCGAATGGTTCAATAGTTTGCTGTCTACTGATTTGGCTTGCATCAAAGTAGAGAAAATTAAACATGCTATTAGTGTTTCTAGTTGGAATGAATGGTCAAGGCTTTGGCAATCAATCTAATCCCTGCAGTCTGTTGAAAGTCATAAGAATCGAAGGAGAAGACAGCATCAACAAACGTGCCAGGCTCAAAAAACGAAGCCAGCTCCCCAACATCGAACTTCTCGAAAACCACCCTCTTCTTACTGCCTGATCTCTCTCTCTGATATATTTCAGTTGCATATATGGCTGCATTATCCCCGCTTTCTGCTGCAGGTATCCTGTAATAATGTCAACATATATTTGAAGTGAATGGATGCGTATAATAATCTTTGTTGATTACAAGCAATAGATTTATGTTGATGAGCACCTGAATGAGACGGACAATCATACCCTAAAAGCTAGTTGTTGAGGTGAAAGAACCAATACTAAACTTAATATCCCATGCAACCACTTCATCGATTTATAAACGTGTGCATGTATTTTTCAATGTGTAGTATATGATGAACTTACTGCAATCGCGCGGTGGGATAATTAGAGAAGCCATCTTTTCTAGCAACAACTGGTCTCCAATCTGTGCTACCACCAGATTCCAAACATAACTTCTGTGCCTTACCATCACAAGCTTCAAGAACCTTACATAAGGTTTGTGATGGATCAAGATCAACCACAAAACTCAACTTCGGCCGACCCGCGTAGTCCTGAAACCTGCCATTTATTCCAAATCGTATCTTAAGATTAGAACAACAAAGCTGAAAGAGGACACCTTTGTGCAATAGTTGTATCCTTTGACTGCCTCGATATAATGGAGCAAGAGATGCTGTGAGACGAGAGATAAATATTTCATCAGGTTCTAAAACAACAGCTAGAGAAGAAGACTTCTGGGGTGTCTCTGGAATGGGCTTTTCATCCACCATGGCAGCTACTTGATTCGACACTGTGTCTAATTCATCACGAAGGCTACGTAAGTCGAAGTGACGATGTTGAACTGTTTTTGATTTAGATCCTTCTGATGAGCTGCCCATTGCAATAGGAGCAGTTGAAACATTGCGTTGATTCTCCACAGGTGATAATAAGCGCCTACCTGGTAAAGATTTTTCAGCACTGCGAGTTTTTGGAGTAGCATTTGGAGAGACCCAGCTATTCGCTGTGAATATGTCTGGAAGACTTGATTCCTATACATGGATGAAGGGATTAAGAAGTAGAATCAAAATTCTATTTGACGAGTCACATTTCGACTCCAAACTGATCCGGTTGAATCAATACTAGCCAATTATTGTTAATTACTCCCTTCAATTATTAACACAATAGCTTAGTAACTAATTAATTTGTTTGTGGGTATTAAAAAATTAATTTATTTAGTTATTTATAACAAATGTATCCCATTAGTTTTTCTAAAATATTATTTTTTTTAATCATATGCATTGTAACTACTCTTAATGAAAACCTTCTTCCTATATGTAATTAATAGATATATTTTTTTAAAAAAAGTTATAAATAAGAGAGACAAAATAAATTAAATTTTTATATTTAAAATAAAAGTAAACTTTTTGTCAACCCTTGTATTTAACACCAGAGGTAGTAGCATCTAGCATCAGCTGCAGAAACATATGATAATATGCTGCTAAAGGTTTTAATTAGCAAGAACAGAAAATAATGAAGAAATTCTTCAAAGTAAAACTTTACCAAGAAGAGAACTGTAGCACAGTGTTTAATGACTTCCAGATTCATGCGAACATAGTCTAAGATCCTGAACATTTGTTGCAGAAAAAGGAAGCAAAAATAAAATTATTATAGCCGGCTTATTACAAGAAATTAAAGCATTATATCGATTAGAGCAGTAGGTTACCTTTGTGGTTGTTGACCAAGCCCAAAATATGCTGCAAGACTGGCCCTCTACAATGAACATATGAAAACTTGAACATATGAAAACTTGAAGCTCACATAAAATCGCCTTGAAATTAGACAAAGCCAAACTATGGGATATATATAAATATATATATATATATGATATCAGATAATTAGTAAAAGATGAGTTATAAATATTTTTATTCAGGAATTTTTAAATATGAGAGTTTTAACTTTTAATTGCAAATAATTATTAAGAACAACCCATGAGATTTAAATATCTAATTTACAATTAACACTCTCTTAATTGTAACTATCTAAATCTAAATCTAAATTTTCAATTCAATTTTAGCAAACTCTTGAGATTTAACAGACGGGAAGTCGAACTTTAATTTTGGAAAACTTGAATATCATTTAATTTCCCATTGTTTTTGTTTATATAATGGATGTTAATATTAGAGGGCACTTTCAATTTAAAACAGATTAGTTGTTTTTTTTCCCCTTAAAAAAAATCACATTGTCCACACATGACAAAATATAGGCAAAACAAACTTTTCGAAAATATATGCTCCATAAAATATAGACATAGGAATGATGCCTTCATGTCACCAGCTCTCCTTCCAAACGTTTCAGTCAACAAAGGCACCAAGTCAATGACGGCTTTAGGCTCCGGCGGTGAACGATTCAACTCACTAAATGCCTTTTTGATGTCAACACATTCGAAGCTTAAGATATTATGACCCGCCCAAATCCTTTCTACACACAAAAACAAGCAAATTAAAGAAGAATCATAATTTGCAATTTCGCACATCATGTTTGGTTTTTCTCTCCATTTTGGCCATGACAAGGCGGAGAAAGGAACGCAGAGAAGGGACGAACCATGAAGAAACTCATAAACCTCATCGGCGACGTCGGCGAAAGTAGGAGCATCGGCGAGAGCATCGCGATCAATTCTGGTGCTACTTTTTAAAGCAGTGGAGATGAGGAAAGGGTTGGCGGGTCGGACCAGGGTGGAGTAGGGTTGTTGGAGCTCCGTTAGTGTCTTCGGGCAAACCAAGATGGCTCCTAACTCCAAAATGACAGAAGTGGAGTGGATGGTTTCAACCTCCCAAAATACAATTTCGGGCGGCGCATCTTCAGAGTGATCCATTCAAAAGCTCAGAAAGGTTAATGAAGGAAGTGGGACAGAAGAAACTAAACAGAAATGTGTGAATGAAGATGTAAGTGATTATATTCAACTTATGGAAAGGGTGAAGATTTATATAGTGGTTTGTAAGGTTGATTTTCTTTGTGGTCCCAAGCAATATCGGTGCTTCGGTTGAAAAATTGTTCATTTCAATGACCGAAGCCGGAATCAAAGGCCATTTTCTTGGGTTATTCGGTGAATATATATATACATAGACGTTCCTGAAAAAGGTGTTTGAATGGAATCAATTAATTATTTTAAAAGTAATTTTATGTTATACGGAGTAAACATGTGAGAGAAGCTTTATCTTAATTTGTACAAAAAGTAATTTTTAAAAGTATTTTTCCTGTCAATCAAACACCCTATGAATTTGATAAGGGACTTTTTTTAGTGAGACATATTGTGAAATTCTTAAAAAAAGAATATTTTACCTACCAAAATTTTCAATGACAATTGGTGTCATCAACATGCTATTATTTTTTGTACTGAAATTTGTTATTGCATGCTGATTAATTTTGTAGGGTTTTAAGAAATTGCATTCTATATTTTTAAGACCTTATAGTAATTTTCTTTCAAATTTTTATGCATATGTCATATCCACACCTTTTTGACTGAGCTTATATCAATCAAAATTCTGATTTAGTTTTTTAGCCTCACGCGGTGTAATAAAAAATATATTTTTACTCATACTCTCGACCAAAATTAACATGTTGTATGTTTGGATGGATTTCTTAGTAGTACTATTTTTTTTTTATTTTTCAACAACTAATAACTTCTTTGGATTTTAATTTATTATTCGACTTATCTGTGATTTATGATTAGGATATGTGATTTTTATTAAAACGAATTAGCTTATATATCAGTCTTTGGGGTCGCTTTGGACCCTACATGTATCCCAACATATGAATAATCCACTCGATATCATCCTCATTAATGTCTTATGTAAATCTATTCAAAACCATGACTTACAAAACATTAATTAATTAGTAAGACTGTAATCCGGCCTCATCAACCTTTTTACCCCTTCAATTCCTTGAAGGGTAGGGGATTTATTGATTTAGAGTTAAAATAAAAATATTGTCCTTAAATATATATATATATATATATATATATATAGTAGTTAACAAGCACTAGCTACTGCACTATTAACTTTTGCCTTAGCCTTTGTGTATATGAACGCGTATGTGTTTTATGTAAATTACTTTCTACTACCCCTCGATTCCTTGAGGGGTTAGTGTGCTCATTCGTCTAAAATAAAAACAAACTATATTAACGACATATACCCTCCACATTTAGCGAAGGGGGAATCAAAATTAAAATATCGCACGATTAATCTGGTTGCTTTGAAGGACGATAAAAGCATCATGGTGAAAAGAGAAGAATAAAAAGAAAACGAGAAGAACCATGTATATTATATATATATAAATATATGTGCTGCCTATTGTCCTCAATACAAGAACTTGTTTAATTTTTATTTTAGTTATAAATATAAGGCTCCAATTCACATTGTTTCTTATATTCATTCATTTTTTTAAGATAATCCTTGTAATAATAGTAGTTCTAACCAATATATTTAATTAGTAAGAATACTTTAGAAAAAACAATACTTATTTATTATAAATAACTACCTTAATAATTTTCTTAATTTACTCATATTAGTCTGTTAACTCTTATATTAAAGACCGGAGATAGTATAATGCATGGTCCTGTTGTTTTTGTTGCATTAGTTCTTCGATTACATATATTTTACGCATGTATTGGTGTAGTCAAACATTTGCAATCAATGTGTTGGGATTTGTTGTCGCGTATAAGTTGAAAGAGAATGAAATTTGAAACTGAACGGCTTAGTTCATACATTCAACCACCAAAAAAAAAAAAAAGGTACACACTCCTTCCAATCTTAAAGCGCAAAAGCAATTTTTTTTTTTTTAAAAGTGTTCATCCCAAGATTATTTCACTGATACAATACTTTATAATTATCTACTCATCATCTGGCATGAATATATCAGGCGGTGATAACATATTATTGTTTCTAATTGGAATGAACGGTCAAGGCTTTGGCTATCAATCTAATCCCTGCATTCTCCTGGAACTCATAAAAATCGAAGGAGACGACTGCATCAACAAACGAACCATGCCTGAGCAAGGAACCCAGCTCTGCAACATCAAACTTATCGAAGAACATCCTCTTCTTAGTGCCGGATGATGAATCTCTCTGGTACATTTCAGCTGCATATATGGCTACATTCCCGCATTTTGCCGTAGGTATCCTATAATGTCAACATATATCTGAAGTAATTGAAGGCATTTAGATTTATAAATGTGTATCATATATAAACTAACTTACCGCAATCGCACAGTGGGATAATCGTAGAAGCCATCGCTTTTGGCGACGAGTGGCCTCCAATAATCAGGGTTCCCACCATGCCCAGGATCTAAATATGAGCTCTTTGCAATACTGTCACAAGCTTCAAGAACCTCGCATAGGGTTTTTGATGGATGAAGATCAACCACAATACTCAATTTTGGTAGGCCCGCACGATCAAAAAACTTGTCGTTTACTCCAAATAGTATTTTAAGATGATCACAACAAAGTTGAAACGGGACGCCTTCGTGCCGTAGTTGTATCTTTAGATCACCATGATCTGATCGAACAGAAGATGCAGTGAGGCGAGGGACAGCTATTTGATGGAGCTTTAAAACAGCAAAAATGGTGGTGCAAGCCTCAGACACGGCGGCTGAAGAAAACATCTGTGCCTGAATTGTTTCTTGGTTTGTTTCATCACGAAGAGGACCGAAGGTGAAAAAATGCTTCTGAGGTATAGTGTGTGATGAGCCTTCATGTGGTAAAAGTATTTCATTGCTATGACTTGCAGCAGCTTCTGCAGAACTCCTGCTATTCACTGTGGATGCATCTACAAGACTCGATTCCTGCATGGATGCATGCAGGTGATTATAAAATTATAAAGTCAGAATCCAGAGTTTGAAGAGCCAGCTTTCATTTTAGTGCTCAGAAGATTGAACTAATAAGGAAAATAGTAGTGATCACATTTAAACTAGTGAAACCAGTTCCAGTGCTTACCATAGCGAGGAGCACCATAATGCTCATCAAATCCTAGTCATTTAAATTTAATATAGATAGCCAAGATTTAATATTTAATATTTTTGTTTTTCAAAAAAATGTTTTCTTTTTAATAGGTATATAATAGATGTAATCTCTTTATTGTAAGTCTTTTAAAAAATAATTTTTTATTTAAAAATCAGTAGTTAAAAATTTAAATCTAGGCCATTAAAACTGATTTTGAATTGTTTAGATTTTATCAGAGTCATAAACATCATGATCACTGAAAATGGTTCACCATGCACTGATTTGTGCAAATGAAACGGAAGGAGTTAAGATATTTCTCTCAAGAGTGATGAGTGATGACTGCTCAAAACTCATCACGATTTGCGCTATCACTTTGATAAATTCAAATTCAAAATAGGTTATGAAAGTGAATCATTGCTCGCCAATTATTATATTGATGGTACATAAATGCTTGCAAGTAAAATTTTACCAGGAACATAGCCGTTGCGCAGCATTTAATTACTTCAATATTGGTCCGAACATCATCTAAGCTCCTGAAGATATGTCGCAGAATTATCAAGTAAGAAGAAATTATGTGAAAGCATATATGGCATAAAACCTCATCGACAAGCACAATTACCTGTGTGTCTGTTTTTCAAGCCCAAAATACTCTGCAAGGGTGGCCAACTGCAGTGAACAGATGATGAATGCGTCAAAACTCGAAGGTGACATAAAATCACCTTCTAATCAAACTACGGGATAGTGTATATGACAAAGGTTTATTCTTTATACGAATGTTAAAAACATGCAGTGCGCCTTTGTCTTCCAAAAAAAAAGGAAAACGGGATATCTCATACAACAGAGGAAACGAAATATAGGAAGCGTACCGTCATGTTCCCAGCTCTCCTCCCAAACGTTTCAGTCAACGAAACTAACGAGTCAATAAAACCTTTGGGTTCCGGAGGGGGCCGGTTAATCTGAGTAAATGCCTCTCTGATGCAGCCACTGTCAAATTTTAACATATTATGCCCCGCCCAAATCCGATCTACACAAAACCCCGGGGGATTAGAATTAGAATTATATATTATAATTATAATTATTGCAATAATTTGGCACATCATGTTTCGTTTTTCTCCATTTTGGCCATGACGAGAAGGCAAAGAAACAGAGAAGGGACAAACCATGAAGAAGCTTATAAACATCGTCGGCGATTTCGGCAAAAGTAGGAGCCCGGGCAATAGAATCGCTAGTGATTCCGTTGCTACGCTGGAAGCCGGCGGGGATGAGGGAAGGGTCGGCGGGTCGGACCAAGGTGGAGCAGGGTTCTTGGAGCTCTTTTAGCGTCTTGGGGCAAATCAAGATGGCTCCGAACTCCACGATGACTCGAGTTGGGTGGATGGTTTCAAGGTCGAAGAATACAATTTCGGGTCGGTCGTCGTCGGCGTGATCCATCCCAAGTGAAGGATGATAAATTCAAGCTCCGAGCATAAGGAGCGATGAAGAGCAAGCAGAATTAATGGCGGAGGCTTTAATAAAGGTAGGGGTGCTCAAGGAACTTGCTTAAGAAGCTAAAGCTTCTGTAGAACACGTACGTCGGAGCTTGCTTAGTCATGAAGGCTCCGCAACTTGCTTTGGACATTGGTCGGCGTCTTCAACTTTTTCTGGTCGACTTTTTTAAAGGCCCCATTTTAGTTGATTCGTTTTCCAGGTTTTGTGGCCGAATCACGAATAAAGGCTAGCTCTCCGGAGGATTGCCCATTACGCCATAAATCAAGGGGGTGTGTGTGGGGCCAAATAATGGCAATTTGAGATTTATGGCTTTCAAGATTTATAGAAGTACTCGGTTCTACTGCAAGCTGGACTCCAAGGATTTCCCGTTTAAGGTATCAGTGGAATTTACAATAACTCAAATCATTTTACACATCCTTGTAAATATATGAACTGATTATAATTTATGTTAACATGCACGCATTTCCTTCTACTTATGAAAGATCAATTTTTTTGCAACCAATCTAACCCCCACACCCTGTTGAAACTCATATTGATCTAAGCAGAAAACTGCGTCCACAAGATTCCCGGGCATCAACAACGAACTGAGCTCCTTGGTATCAACCTCATTGAAACGTAACCTTTCAATAATGCCTGATGATGATTCTTTCTTGTACACTTCAGCTGCAAATATGGTAGCGTCCCCACATTCTGATATGGGAATTCTGGAATGCCAATATTTACACAAAGTAGTTAAATTCTCAAGCAGCCAAATTTTGAAAGGCTTGCATGCAATTATTTTTATAATCTGCTGCGTAAGATATGATATAGAACTTACCGTAACCTCACGGTAGGATAACTGAAGGAGCCCTCTTTTCTGGTAACAATTACTGGCTTCCAATTATGAGAGCTACGTCCAGAGTCCAAAAGTGAACTCAGAGCAATGGCATCACAGACTTCAAGAACCTCACATAAGCTTTCTGATGGATCGACCACAAAACTCAACTTTGGCTGGCCTGCATTATTATGAAACCTGCCGCTTTTTCCGAACCGTATTTTGAGATCATCACAGGAAAGCTGAGAAGGGAAACCATTGTGCAATAGTTGTATCCTTTGACTGCCATAACATAATGGAACAAGAGATCCAGTGAGGCTAGAGATGAAAACTTCATAGGGCTTCAAAACAGTAAAATTGCTGCTGCAACTAGCCTCGGATAAAGCAGCTGGACAAGTCTCTTGTGGTTGAGGATATTGAACTGGATTAGCTAATTTATTGCCTTCTGAGCTGCACGTTGCAATATGAGAAGATGTTGTTGGACGTTTTTCTTCGTTACATTGAGTTGCAATAGGTGATAATAACACGGATTCTGTTTTCACGTCTGATAGGCCCTTGTCTTGTAAAGATTTTCCCACACGGCAACTTCTTGCAGCAACTTTTGGAGAAACCAAACTATCCACTATGAATACGTCTGGAAGACATGATTCCTGTATGATGATTAAAAACAATGCAATCCATTACTCATCAGTGAATTAAACCAATAAAGAGAAGGGAATTTTGTAAAATAATGTTCCTGTTTGAAATTTTTTTTTACTAAAAGGGCCTGAATTTGATAGGGTAGAATTTTTTTAACTACGTGCAATATATTTTCAATTATGTGCAAAAGTTATCAAAATGAAAGATGTGTTGCACACAGCTAAAGAAAAGTTGCACGTGCTAAAATAGTTGCATCTGCTCAAGTTTAAATCTCTTTAGTCAATAAAATTTCAAGCATGCACTTTTTATTATTTTTTCAAAAAAGAATAGGCACATTTAACAAATCAAAGTTAAACAAAATAAACCAAATTGTTATTAGCAACTAGCATTATTTGCAAAAATGATGTTATATTAGCATTACCAAATAACCTGAATGAGAAAAAGTAACGCAGCCACGTTCAACATAATAGCTTATTGTCCAAATTACGGAGACCAACAAAATTAGTAATTGCATCGAAATATTTTTTTTCTTCTTTCCAAAATCTAGCCCTAATTTAATGTTTTATTATGGTACAGTCGTATTTATTATTAGAAATTGGAGAAATCATTAAATAGGGGTAAATATGAAAATATTTTATAAACAATGTTATAATATAATTTTGAACAAAATATTATAAAAGGATATACGCATTTGAAAATTGAGTACTATATTCCAAGGCAAAATGGAGTATTAACTTTTAGCCAATAATTACATTCTTGTACGTTGACATAAACTTGATATATGACGGTTCTAAGATGCCCTCTCTCTCTCTATATAAAAGAAAAATATATATATAAAAATTTAAAAAAAATAGTTGAAAACATTTATCATTCCTAAGAAATATGTTACAAATGGTAGTTTTGTTTCCAAAGAGTCTCAATTAAGTTTAAACTTTACCAAATTATTGGTGGCACCCCCATAAAGTCAATCTACTTTAATGATAGAAGAGTTTGAGGGAAACTTTTCTTTAATAAAAGTTAATCTCTTATGCTACTTTTAATCCTAAATATAAAAGCTAGTTGACTTATTTGAATAAATCAAGAAAATAAGTTAAATTAGTGTTTGTAATAAATAGTGTGTTGTCTTTCCTAAAATATCATTGCTAATCAAGTTTATTAGCTAGAACTACCTTATTAGAAGAACTATCTTGAGAAAAATGAATAAATAGAGAGACAAAGTGGATTAGAATTTTATTTTAGGACCAAAATAAAATCAATAAGATCTTATATTGAGAGCCAAAAGCAGTATTATTTAAAAGTAAGAGAATATTCCCTAAATGTTCTCATATACTCCTCCGGTCCTAAATATAAGATCCATTTGTAGTGTAAATTATACTACAAAATGGATCTTATATTTAAGACCGGAGGGAGTATAAAGCACCGGAGGGAGCATTATATATAAAAAAAAATGTGGAAAATGCTTCAAATGGAAGAAAATTTTTACCAGGAACATAATAGTTGCACAGTCTTTGATAACTTCAAGATTCATTCGAACATCATCTAAGCTCCTGAAGATTGAATTAATGCAGAAAAAATAAGCAAAAGAATTACTAAAGCTGGCTTACAAGAAAACATCACATCAAATTCCATCGTTTATCATAGTTAGTCAGTTACCTATGTTTCTGTTGACCAAGACCAAAATATGTTGCAAGACTGGCCATCTACAATAATTAACATGTATAGGAAAACTGAAAGCTTACTAATATGCAAAGCCAAACTATGGGATAGTATACATGTTTTTGAATTTAGTTTAGTGGAAAAGAAGATAGTAACAAATAAACTCGGCTCATATAGAAGTTTAACGAGGGAGTAGTATTACATCATTAAAAAAATGAGTTGTAAATACTTGATTCAGACAGTTTTAAATGTGAGAATCTCAGTTGTAAATTATTGAGAGCAACTGATAGTGAGATTATTATGTAAAACATATGCCTTTTTTTGGAAAAAAAATATAGGAAAACTTTTCTAACATATATTCTCTATAAAATATATATAAATATAGGAAGGATGCCTTCATGTCACCAGCTCTCCTTCCAAACGTTTCAGTCAACAAAGGCAGCGAGTCAATGATAGCTCTCGGCTCCGGCGGTGGCCGATTCATCTCAGTAAATGCCTTTCTGATGTGAACACAGTCGAATCTTAAGATGTTATGACCCGCCCAAATCCTTTCTGCAACAAAAACAAAAAAAAAAAAAAGAGTTGTAATTGCAATTTGCCGCATCATGCCTTTGTTTTTTCTCCATTCTGGCCACGAAAAGGCAAAGAAACACAGAGAAGGGGCAAACCATGAAGAAGCTCGTAAACCGTATCGGCGATGTCGGCGAAAGTAGGGGCAACGGCAAGAGCAACACGATTAATTCCATTGCTACGCTGGAAGACGGCGGGGATGAGGGAAGGGTCGGCCGGTCGGACCAAGGTGGAGTAGGGTTGTCGGAGCTCCTTAAGTGTCTTGGGGCAAACCAAGATGGCTCCGAACTCCACGATGACAGAAGTGGGGTAAATGGTTTCAATGTCGAAAAATACAATTGGGGGTGGATCTTCAGCTTGATCCATCTTCGACGATCAATTCAAGCTCGGTAGTTGTGGAGCGAAGGGCAGAATTAATGGTGGAGGCTTTGATAAATTCAAGGAACTTGCTTAATTATGAAGATAAAGCTTCTGTAGAACACGTCGGAGCAGCTTGCTTGGTCACGAAGGACCTACAACTTGCTTTGGACACAGTGATCGTTGATCATGTAAAAAAAAAAGTTTCGACCAAATGCCAATGCCACTCATTTTCTAGTGTTTCGGTTCTAAATATAAATATAAGACCTATTTTACAGTGTAATTTATATTATAAAATGGGTCTTCTATTTAGAACCGAAAGAATACTACAAAATAGATTTTATATTTAGGATACAAGGACTAATATTTCACAAAAGTTTAAAAGCAAAAAAATCGAAGAGAGAGTCTCACAACAAGCCGAGGAGGAAATAGAAAAGATGAAAAGAAATACACCGGTCTGCTTTGAACAGCTTGCGCGTAAAGGTCAGAATGACAATAATCCTTAACGTCGCTCCTCTACTTCTTAGAGATTATTGTTGGCCATTAAATCTTCCCTTCCTCTTTTATTTGTTTCTTTCTTTTGTTCGGTGGGGAGTAAATTTGTCTCCTTTGATACAGTATATAATTAATATGATTATTGACTCACTGAATAATATAACAACCTACCTATTATATATCTATTACACGTATAAAACTAGAGTTTGACTTAGAGAGATTCCTGGGCTCCATTAAGATTATCTTTGTCATTAATTACTTTGATTTTTTTTTGATACATTGGAAATAAAAGAAGGGAAAATTAGTAAAAAAAAATCCCTATTTGAAATTTTAATTAGTCAGAAGAACTTGATTTGTGCATGTACAAGTATGATTCGTGAGTGCAACATATCATTCAAATAATATGTTTCACTCAACAGATGATATGTTGCACTCACAGATTATAATTGTACTTGTACAATTTTAGGTCTTTTTGGCCAATTAAAATTTCAAATAGGGATTTTTTATCAATTTTTCCATAAAGAAAGACTAAACTATGAGGAGGATGCAGTGAGGACAGCCACAGCTTCCCGACTTATGATTTAGAGCCCCAAGGCTCCATTCAATATGTGTTTTACTAGGAGGTCAACCATCAGGTTCTGGTCTCTACTAATTGTGTGTAGTTCCACTTTCCAGCTCCAAGCCAACATTTCCTTTATCTCATGAATAGTGGCCCAATCTTCATGCATGCTATTGTCATCTTCAAGGATTAATCAAATGGCTTCTGAGGAATCACACCAGAGAATCACTTCTTGTCTCCCAAGGTCCCAAGCTCATTTTAGACCCAATAAGCAGCCCCATAGCTCAGTTGTGAGATTATTGCCCTAGTCTAGCTTAAGCAGGAATCCTTCAAGGATCTGGTCATCAAACTGCTTCATAACTCCGTACATGCCACCTTTCCATTCCTGTGTGAGAACGCACCATCAGTCTCAACCACTAGAGTGCTGGTCCTGGAGTCCGAAATAGTTTTTGTGATATGTTGTAGCCCAGTGTTCATCCTAACACCTTGCAGCTTTGAAGTTGAGGACCTCATGCAAATGCTAATTACCAAAGCTTTTCCCAAAGATCGTGGCAAGATCCATGGTGAAATTTACATGCGTGTACTCATTTCTCGCTCTCCACAAAAGCCAACAGATAATGAAAAACAAGTATTTCCACTTTAACGTTACCTGTGCAACTTGATTCCTCATATTTAGCTGTATCCAGCTTTTGAAGTCACTAGTGAAGAAATGGCAGTGGAATTTCAGAGCAATAATTCACCCCCAGAACTTACGTACTTCTAAGCAATCTTGAAACACATGTTCTTCACTTTCTTGATGCTGCCTGCACTTATCACAAAGCCCATTCTGATGTAAGCCTCTAATAAGTTTTCTTTGGTTTGTGATAACCCACTCATGAAGCTGTATCCATGTAAAAGCCTTGCACCGTTGAGGGATTGTTAGTTTCCAAACACTATTCCAGTTAAAATCAGGGGCTTCCTTGGGTGGGTTAAGGGCCATATATGCCGATCTGGTAGTGAAAATCCCACTCTTCTCCTACTTCCAACGAGCTATATCCTACTTCCAGTTGTTTTTAATTCCCTGCCACGTATTAGAACTTGGTTTCTTCATATTAATATGAGGTATGAGATTCTTTCCATATCCATACTTATGTCGTATGACTTTCACCCAAAGAGAGCCCTACCTGGTGACAAGACCCCATCCAAGCTTCATCATAAGTGCTCAATCTTGCTGTTTGATATGTCTTATACGAAGGCCCCCAAATTGTTTTTCCATGCACACTTTCTCCTAGGAGATGGGGTGCATCCTTCTTCTCTCATCTGAGGATCCCCAAAGGAAGTTGCGAGCTTGTTTTTCGACAAGGTTACAGGTACTGTCAGGGATGTGGGCCATCTATATGGCGTAGGTTGGCATGGCACTTATGACAGATTTCACAAGCATGTCACCCCCCGCAAGAGAGAGGCTGTTAATCTTCCAGTTACTTAGGTGACTTTTAACTTTGTCAATTATATACTGATAGGTCTGATTGGTAACTCTGTCATACTGCAACAAAACTCCCAAATATTTGCCAAGGCCAGCAGTCTAAGTAAAGCCAAATGCCTCACTAAGTTGAGAGGCTTTGTTGTGATTAATATTCCTAGAGAAAAAGATTTTTGTCTTTCCCTAGCTAACTTTCTGGCCTGAAGCTTCACAGAACCGGTCCAGACAATCTTTAATAATTTCTACCTACTCAAGACTAGCTTTTACAAAAATTAATAGGTCATCAGCAAAAAAACAAATGCGAAATTGGGGGTCCATGCTTACTTAGTCTTATAGGCCTCCATCTCCTTGTATTAATCTCGTGTTGAAGAATATGTGCCAACTCTTTCATACAGATCATAAACAGATACGGATATAGGGGGTCTCCTTGTTAGAGGCCTCTTGTTGGACTGAACTTTCTGACTTTATCACCTTCCCACAGGATTTGCATTGAGGGGGATGAAATGCGCTCATGTATGATTTTTATAATTGTTTTAGGCAAGCCAATTTCCTTTAGGCATTTCATGACAAAGCTCTATCTGATCTGGTCATAAGCTTTCTCCAGGTCGATCTTAATGGCCATAAAGCCTCTCTTTCTTGTCATATTCCTCATTGAATGAATCACATCCTACGCAACTATTATATTATCTGAGCTTGTCTTGCCTGGAACAAAGCTACATTGATTTGGCGCAATGACCTTAGAGAGGCATAGCTTTAACTTATTCACCTCAACCTTAGAAATAATCTTATAAATCACATTACAGAGACTAATAGGCCTAAAGTCCCTTATAGATTCTGGGTGATCTACCTCAGGGATGAGCACAATAAAGGTATGATTTATAGAATTATTAAGAGTAGGATCAGAAAAAACTTTCTTAACCATAAGAATGACCGAGTCGCTTACTAGTTCCCATTGGCTTGGATAGAAAAGGGTGTTTAAACCATCAGGGCCCAGTGCTTTCAAAGCTCCCATGTTAAAGAGCACATGTTTGATTTCTTCGCTAGTCACCTCTTTCCTCAAAATCTCAAACTGGTCTCTTTCAATCGCAAGAAAAGTAACAGCAAACTCATGGAGACAAAAGTCATTATACATACCTGGACTGCTTACACTGTTGTCTTCCTAAAACAAATTATAGAAGAAATTGGTGGCGGTGGTTTTAATAATTTCATCATCATCTGTCCACTCGCTGTTATCTTGCATGAGCGCTTCAATGCAATTTCTTCTCCGTCTTCTATTTGCTTTAGCGTGGAAATACTTGGAGTTTTTGTCCCCAAGGGTATACCACTTGCATTTTGCTTTTTGAGCCCAAAGAAGATCCTCTTCAATAATAACCTCTTCCAACTCAAGCTAAAGCTTCCGTTGAAGTTGTTCTAAGGACGACGATTGACCCGAACTAGCCATCGTCTGTGAGATACCCTCAAGTCGTCCCATTAGCTGGCTCTTGCAACGTCCCAGGTGCCCGTACATGGTTTTGCTCCAGTGAATGAGAGCCTCAGTAAAGCAATTAATATTTTCCACCCAATTCAAGTTGTGATCCTATTCTTCTTTTACAAGTCTACTGAAATCATCATGCAACACCCAAGGGGCATTAAAACAAAAAGGGTGAGAAAACTTATTAGAAGAGAACACACCTTGTCTCATTTAAAGTAGGATAGGCCTATGATCAGATTTGAACCAAGGAAGACTCTTGACCACAGCATCGATATATGTGGAGCGAGCTTTGTTATTGAACAGGACTCTATCTAATCGGCTCTTGCAACCTTCCCTCTTCCAAGTGTAGAAAGGGCCCAAGCAACCCATATAAGAAAGATCCATGTCCTCCACCCAGTTGCAGAACTCGCGGTCAATAGGAGTTGCATGAGTTGCATTTGATCTGCTTTCACTAGGCCAGAGAATACCATTAAAATCAGCCCCAACAAGCCAAGGCCATTCCTGACTCGGATTAATGCTTTAGAGTTGGACCCATAGAGAGCGTCAGACCAAGGGGTTGGGACAAGCATAAACGGTTGTTATGAAGATTTTTTCTCTCCATTTCTCTCAAGCATCATGTGAATAAACTGGTTATTTTTTTGAGAACAAAGAGAGCGAAGTCATTATTTGTCCATGATAACCATATACCCCCTCGAAAACCCATAGCTTCCCCAACTTCAACATGCTAGAAACCCAACTACTTACTAACATTTTGAGCTTTCTCACCACTTGACTTGGTCTCAAATAATGCACAGAAATCAATCTTTTTTAATTTCCTTAATAAGTCCAGGAAAAGCCTTGGATCCCGTTCCCCTGCAATTTCAAAAGATATAGTTCATGGGGCCTCTGGAAGAGGGGAGTTCTTGCTTATAGACCCCTTAAGTTTCATCTAAACGTCCGTAGTTGTACCAGAATGCTTCAAATCAGTTTCCTAGCCATGTTCATGTAGGAATGCGACCATCTCAGTATCTTGAAGCTGAATAATCAAGTCTGCATTAATAGCTTCTAAGCCTTGGTCCAAATCAATCTTGTCGGGCCTAGAGGAAGAAGGCTGGTCCGTGACGGCATCACTTGGTAGCCCATCTTCTTTCATATTCATTAGAGCCTCAAAAGGATTGTGGGCTTTCCAAAAGTCGCAGGTGGTGACTACTGGGGCCACTAATCATCGAGACCCCTTTTTGCCTTTGGGGGGAATATTCTCCTTTCCATATTTAGAAGCTTTATTTTCCATTGACTTGGCCGCGTCCACAGGGACCCACTTAAAATTGTTGTGAAATTCCCTCCCCACAAACAGCTGACCATTGGTATTTAAACCGCCTTTATTTGTTTCCTTCTTATTCAAGCTATCCAATTTGACATCTCCACGCTTCTCGCGATTTTGAGTCAATTGCGTCTTGCTCTGCAGATTCATCTCCTGGCAGTTACTCCGAACCCCGGATTTAGCGTTGTTTCCCCATTTCTTTCCTTTAGACCGTTGCACCAAGTTCCATGCCCCGAGCTTCTCCGTCTATGGTGGAGTTTCACGGTCAAGATTTGTTCTGGCAGCTGTTTCCTAGCATGGGCGTTTCGGCAAACCGCTTTTGGAGGCAATATGTATGTTTTCTGTGGGGTTTATCTCCAGCTCTTTGGGTGCCGCATTCAAATCAACGTTCACCTTCTCATTACTCTGCCCGTGACCCGTTACAGTGGAGTTTGACTTAGAGAGATTCCTGCGCTCCATTAAGATTATCTTTGTGATTAATTACATTGATTTACTATGCAAGCGCCAACTATTTGAGAATTTTCTCTCAAAATTTATCATTGAAATATTCCATCCTAATTACATGCAGGCAAGCTCCAAGGATTAATAGACATTGAAGTTAATTATCAGTGGAATTAATTTTACAATAATTCAGTCATTTTATGCATACTAATTATATGATTTGATAATAATTTTAATTATTTTGGCATTCATGTTTCACCTAGCCAAATTAAAAACACGTACGTCACGTTCCTTCTACACATGAAAGATCAACTTTTTAGCAACCAATCTAATCCCTGCACTCTGCTGATACTCATATTGATCTAAGCAGAAGATTGCGTCCACAAGGTTCCCAGGCATCAACAACGAACCGAGCTCCCTAATATCGACCTTATTGAAGCGTAAGCTTTGAACAGTCCCCGACACTGATTCTTTCTTGTATACTTCAGCTGCAAGTATGGCAGTGTTCCCCATGCATAGTGATACAGGAATCCTGTAATAATGCCAATATTTACTAACATTAGTAATATTCTCAAGCTGGGAGATTTCCACAGCCTTCATTAATTTCTTCCTTATTCTTCCTTTTGCTTCACCTGTTTCTCAATGCGCAGAAGGCCAAAAGCGATCACGAGCAATTCTTTGGATAGATTAATTATCTACTATCCATTATTGTTCTTGTTGAAATGAAGGCATGCATGCGTGAGATCAGTATTAATAATGAAAAAGATATATATATATATATATATATTTTAGGTGTAGGATATAGAACTTACTGTAACCTCACAGTAGGATGGTTGAAGGAGCCCTCTTTTCTGGTAATCAATACTGGCTTCCACTCAGAGCTACTTCCTGAGTCCAAAAACGAACATAGAGAGATGGAATCACAAGCTTCAAGAACCTCACATAAGCTTTGCGATGCGTCAATCACAATATTCAACTTTGGTCGGCCTGCTTTATCACAAAACCTACCGCTTATTCCAAACCGTATTCTGAGATCAGCACAAGAGAGCTGAAAAGGGAAACCATTGTGCAACAGTTGTATCCTTTTACTGCCATGATGTGATGTAAAAAGAGTTGTGGTGAGGCTAGAGATGAGAACTTCATGGGGCTTCAAAACAGCAAAATCGCGGCTGCTGCTCCAAGTAGCCTCAGATAAAGCAGCTGGACTAGTCGTTTGTGGTTGAGGATAGTGAACTGGATTAGCTAATTTAGAGCTTTCTGCAATAGGAGAAGATGTTGTTGGACGTTTTTCTTCGTTACATTGAGTTGCAATAGGTGATACTAGCAATATGGATTCTGTTTCCATATCTGATAAGCCATTGTCTTGTAAAGATTTTCCCACACTGCAACTTCTTGCAGCAACTTTTGGAGAAACCCGACTTTTGAGTACATCTGGAAGACATGATTCCTGCATATATAGATGATACCCAAAAAAAAAAAAGGGGCAATCCATTACTCAGTGAATTGAACTAGGCACATTTAACCAATCAAAGTGAAACAAAATCAGCCAAATTGTTATTAATTAGCGGCAACTAGCATTATTAGTTGCAAAATGATGTTATATTGGCAATTACCAAATAACCTGAATGAGAAAAAGTAACGGGCCCATAACATAATATAACTAGGCATCATGTCAAAATGAGATGTTGAAATATATATATATATATATATATATATTATAGAATACTATACCGCATTTGATTCATAGGCTTTTGAGCTGCACATTTGAATGGGAGATGTAGATGTTGGACGTTTCCCTCCTCACATAATTGATTTGCCATAGGCGATATGGGTTTCTTTTTCATATCTGACCAACTTCTATCCGGCAATGATTTTTCAACGCTGCGATATCTTTTAGCGCTGTTTGGAGAAACACAATTATTCACCGTGAAATCATCCAAAAAACTTGATTCCTATATGGATGGAGAGGGATTATGACATAGAGTCGGTCAGATTATCCATGATTTGACGAGTAAATTTTCAAAAATAAATAAAAACAAAGAATTATCATATTTAACTAATTAAAATGAAACAATACTAGCTAGCCAATTACTATTTCATCTGCCTCCAGCTAGGTAGCTACAAAATGATGTCATATATATTACCAAGTACCAAATAACCCAAATGAGAACAACACGGTCTCATAACTGGGCGCATTATATTTCAGGACACTTTCTAAAACGGTATCATGTTTTTAGGCGATTATTAAAGATTCTTGTAGACTGACATTTTGATACATGATGTTTATTATTTGTAGTCCTAACCAAAGAAAAACAGTCACAAACCCTTGGGATAGAAACGGGCTAAACGGCCTATGGCTCCTTGTCGTGGAACAAGTATAACGTTAAATAATGAGAATCTTTGAGGTAAAATTTTACCAAGAAGAGAACAGTTGCACAGTGCTTGATAACTTCTAGATTCATACGAACATCATCTAGGCTCCTGAAGATTATTTTGTTGCAGAATGACGGTCAAACAAAAAGATAAACTATTAATTATAGCCGTCTTATTAGGAAATAGTATAACATAAAAATATCTAAAAATTCTATCCATTAGCAAAGCTACCTATGCGTCTGCTGCCCAAGCCCAAAATATGTTGCAAGAGTAGCCATCTGCAGTGAAGAGACACACACACATATGTATATATATGAATGCAACATAAAATTACATTTATATATATATATAAAAGTTTACGCTTCGTACGACTGAAATGCAATATATATATATATATATATATATATGCTGAACTTTTCCAAATGGCAAAAAAGAGGAATATGATTTATAGGAACAATACCTTCATGTTTCCAGCTCTCCTGCCAAACGTTTGAGTCAACAAAGGTAGTGAGTCTATCGTACTTTTGGGTGATGGTGGAGGCCGATTAATCTCAGTAAATGCCTCTCTGATACGAAGACAGTCAAATCTTAAGATGTTATGGCCCGCCCAAACCCGTTCTGCAACAAAAACGAATTATATATAACTCCACATTTTTCCCCATCACAAGCCAAAGGGAAAAAAAAACAGAAGGGACAAACCATGCAGAAGTTCATAAACCGTATCGGCGATGTCGGCGAAAGTAGGAGCGGAGGCGACAGCCTCGCGAGTTATGCCGTTGCAGCGTACAGAGGCGGGGGAGATGAGGGAAGGGTTGGCGGGTCGGATCAATGTGGAGTAAGCATGGAGCTCCTTTAGCTTCTCGGGGCAAACCAACATGGCCCCAAACTCCAGAAGGGCATAACCCTGGCCGGCGCAGGTGGGGATGGTGGTTTCCACGTCGAAGAATACAATTTCGGATCGTTCTCCAGTTTGACCCATTTTAAGACGATGATGTCAATGGAAGAAGCAAAGCAGAACAGAACAAAGAATCTGCCTTTCAAGATGAACGCTTCCAAGTGAGCATTAAAAAAATTTATGTTGTTTTGTAATAACGTTGGTTTTCTTCTTCGAGGCTTAAACAGACTCAGTTTGGCCAGCCGGGAGATATAATTTTTTACGCTCACCGCATACAATATGATTGATGAACATAATATATCAAAAGTATATTTTACATGTGGTCATCAAAACCAAAACTAAAATGTCTGTTCCTGATACATGAACTAGTTGGGAAATTTACTCTATCATTCAGCATAATTATTATTTACAATTAGATTAATTATGTGACTTTTTACAGAATGGAATGGGCTTACTGTTAGCCTTTTGGAGTCGCCTTATAGATTCTGTCCATATCCCGCGACGTACGAATCTGGAGCCGAATAATCTATTAGCATTTTTTTTTTATATGTATATATATACTACTTTTTACCCTCGATTCCTCGAGGGGTTAGGGTGTTTATTCATTTAAAACTAAAACAGAACATATTAATTTATATACTTACTACTTATTAGAAACTACTTCCTTTGATCCTGAATGCGAAACCTATTTTCTAGTGTAAATCACACTACAAAATAAGTTATAGCATAAATTACATTACAAAATGAGTCTTGAATTAAAAACCAAAGGAATAACTACAAATATATACCCTTTGCACTTGGTGGAGGGATAATCAAAATTAAAAAAAAAAAACTAAAACGCGTTGCAATTTTTTATAATCCACATATATGATTGCTGACGCAATGAGGGCTGTTGGTGGAGGGTTAATGTAGACATTTGGTGCCGAGAAAATATTGAAATAAATATGGGCTTCAGAAATCCATTATAAAATTTTCCCAGATGTAATATTGTAATTGAAAGTAGTTAGTGAATGTATAAGCTGAAAAAGATCTTGATCAATGATCATACATCAAAGAAATTAGTACATACTCCGTCGGCACTTTTCTATAAATCACTTCTACCTAATTTTGAAACTGAGAGAATTGTTTAAATTTTGTTGGTGTTCTTAAAATCATCTCAATTCTTCAACATGAATTTTAATTATTAATTAACTATAATAAAGTCTAACTCAATCTTGCTCATCAGATCTTCTCTAATCCGTCTTGAAACCATAAATGTACATGTTATTAATATCAAGAGTGTTATTGACTAAAATTTGCTTCATAGATTTTGTGAAATAAATAGGACCATAAAAAGCTTATATACAAAAGATGACCAATAAATAAGTTTTAGGTCTCAGCTCTCAAGGAAAAACAAGACATCATGTTATAATGATGAAGGCTAGCTGCTGATCGAACTGTGTTATCAGCATCCATCTAACGTATGTTTGGTTCAGAGACTTCTGAGCTGCATGTTGTAATAGAACTTTCTGGGCGTTTTCTCTCCTTATTACAATACTGATTCTCAGTGGTTTCCATTTTTCGTAACTGATGAGCTGCGATCTGGTAGTAAAGACCTTCCATTACCACTACTCGTAGTAGCATTTGGAGAAACCCTGCTATTCACAGTGAACACACCTGGAAACTTTGATTCCTGTAAGGATATGGAGAGATTATAGAGTAATTATAAAGTTAGAATCCATACGATTAGATCGTTAGTATACCAAAATGGGCCAGTGGCTTATATATGGCTCATTGTCTTCCAACAAGTATGATGAAATGCTTCAAATTCAAAGTAAAATTATTTTACCCAGAAAAGAACAGTTGCACAGCTTTTGATAACTTCCGATTCATCCGAACATCGGCTGAGGCCCTGGAAATTTGTTGCAGAAAAATTATGCAGAAAGAAACTATTATAATACTCGGCTCACAATAAAACAACATGTTCCATCGATGAGCACAGGTACCTATATGTGCCTGTTGTCCAATCTCAAAATATGCTGCAAGACTGGCCATCTCCAAGTGGCCGGGAACATATATAAAAAGCTATTGCTTTAGCGATTCTAGAGGGGGGGAAATGGACGAAATATATTCTCTAAACGATATATGCTGAAGTTTTCCAAAATGGAGTTTTTGTTTTTATTGTTATTCGTCTTGTTCATCTAACAGAGAGGTAAACACAACGTGCTCAGCAAATGTCTCTCTAATGCGAGCACTATCAAGTCTTTCGATGTTATGGCCCGCCCGGACCCGTTCTGTACAAAATTCACAAGAACTTAATTATAAGTGCAATTTGCCACTTCGTCTTTGGTTTATCTCCATTTACCGATTACAATAAGGCATAGAACGTAAGAAACAAACCATGAAAATGTTCATAAACCGTATCGGCGAAAGTAGTAGCGGAGGCGACGGTGTATGGGGAGTAATGCCGTTGCAGCGGACTGAGCTAGGGGAGATGAGGGAAGGATTGGCGCGTCCGACCAAGTTGGAGTAGTCTTGGAGCTCCTTCAGCTTCTTGGGGCAAACCAATATGGCTCCAAATTAAACTCCAAAATGGCAAAAGCCTGCTCACCGGCGGGGATAGTTGTCTCAACGTCGAAGAATGCAACTTCGGGTCGATCTTTAGTGTGACCCAGCCATGGAACAAGTGGAATAGAATAAACACAATATGCTGTCAAAGATGAAAGCTTTAGCCTTTGATTTGAGTGAAAGTGAAGAAAAGGAAAGAAAGAGATGCCCTCGTTAGTTATATATATGTGTACGCTACATTTATGGGGGGAGGGAAATTATTTTGAAATTTTAAAAAATTTCCCTCCATTTCTCTCCTAACTTTTCCCTTTAGGTTAGGAAATTTTGAGTGATTTGCAGAGAAGGTGGAAGAGAAAAACAAAAGCTAAATCTGTTATGAATATTATGGCTTGGCCGCTTTGGATGTGGATGTTCATTTTTATCTCCTTTTTTCTAATTAGTAACTCCCCGCTGCTTTTACTATTCCACTAATCTTGTAACTCATCTCTCATTTACATTCATGATTCATTATTTACCATTTATATAGACGTGTAATCTGCAAAATTATGCCCATGACTAGGTATGTCATTTGTACTGTAAGTTAGAAGAAATAAAAATAATACAAGATATCTCCCTCATTCTTTTTGTTTCCGTTTTTTTCTACATACTTTATATTATAATTTCGGTATATTTTCGTAACAAAATCTATATTTTTGTACCATCTTGACTAAAATGTCTTTTTGTTTACATGTGTGTGTATATATTCGTGTCCTATCTCTATTGTCAGTCTTGTTGCTATCCGGACGGGTTGGAGTGGAATATATACTAGCCACCGGGATCAGTTTTGATGCCAACCATTATCATGATATTTATCAAATATTAATTATTTAAATTTAATATGGACAGGATTTAATTTTTTTTATATTTTTTTTTTAAGAAAATGTTTTAATAGGTAGATAATGCATGATAAATGTAATTTTTTAATTGTAAATTTTATTCAAAATAATTTTTATTTAAAAATTATTAGATGTAAATTTTAAATCTAGATCATTAAAACTGTATCTAAATGATATAGATTTCACAACAAAGCTGATTCCCACCTTCTGCTCTCCACGGCCATCCAATAGCTGAATGGATATGCTATGCCGTTTTTTAACGTAAGGTTAATTAATTTAGAAAATTTTTAAAAATTAGATAAATTATTTTAAAATATTTTCAAACTAATTTATTAGTCTAATGATACATATAAATATTTTAAAGAAATAATATAATATATGCTAAATTGGGTTCTATATTGAGCGAAGGTAACATTGAATATCATTGCTTTTCCGGTGGCAGTAAATCAATAGTTTCTAGTGAAGAAAAATTAAATCTGTTCTTATTCATATGGCTCGCGCAATAAAATAGTGGACTCAAAATAATTATGTGAATTTACTAGTATATAACAAAAATACGAGACGAACATGTTGTGAATACGAAAAAGCACTATGATGCAAAAGTTGCGCCAGTGGAAAGACGCGGACTTATTGAATGTACAAACTTTGGATGCCAGCTATATATATAATAAAATATTAAGATCCAGCCCAAGATGACCTCAGGCCGAAAAAACCCAAGATGACCCGGGTACGTGTAGAGCACCCACTGGTTGCCGCCATAACCACGCGATCCTCCTTTGGAAAAGGGGGCAAACAAGAACAGTAACAAAATTGTGAACTCCCTTTTCTTCTCCAGAGCGTGTCTCTGAGTTGTTTTACCATGAGCGAGGCATAACCGCAAGGACAAGGGTAATAACTATTTAGTGCTTCTCGGTTCTTATAACCGACACGGACACGCTCTTTCTGATCTAACTCTGCGCACCACTATCGTACGGTCTGGGCTTCACTCGTCATTCCCAACACTACCATTCTGTGATCTGCCCGACCTCGATCATTTGGTTTGAGCTGAGCTGGGTGGGCATTACCCAGATGATGATTTCTGGGTACAATGAAGAGGATCAATAGGAATCCGTATGATGATGCAGAAAAGCTCTCAGATTCGGACAGCCGCGACAACTATTCGAGGGATCCTGACAAGAAATCTGGTTTTAATTTGATGCGATTGATGGGGTTCTTCCTGCTTGGTTTGATGCTCTTCTCTGCACTGTTTTCTGTTTCGGTGGTTCTCCGAGACCCCCCTTCAGATGGCGTCGTCGAAGCATCTTCATCTGTTTTATTTCAAGCTAAACAAAGTGAAGGTATTTGCTTATTCATGTGTTTAAGTTTATCTTGTAAGTTGCATTACTGATTCTCTTACGAATCTTGTAAGTTTATCTTGTTTTGATCAGTATGCACTGTTCAGCTCTAACTCCGTGATCTTCTTTTGCCTTCTACGTCCTAATTCTTTATAAGCCGATGGATCATACTGGTGAAAGGTTGTTTATAACTGATATGCATCATACTCGTGAAAAAATAAAATGAGAAAATCAGCACTTCTAGTTCTAGTTGTCTACCAGTGAACTATATTCTTTGATGGAGCTATTTCACCATTTAGCCCAATTCGAGGAACAGAAACCAGAGAATAAGAAAGGAAGTAGAATGGGACAAATTTTTAATTTTGCTTTTGCTTTTGTTTTTTCTCGAACTTATGCTGTCGTGTGCCTTAGAAGAGTCTAGGCAACCTCTTTTCCTTTATTTTTGTTCTTCCTATGTGCATCTACATGTTAAGATGACTTTAGGGTTACTCACTAAAATGGCAAAAGTTTTTTCGTTTCCTTTTAAATTATAATATGGAAAGGAATATCTACTTGTTTCAGTCAAATGCCTGCATGGATATCTGTTTAACTGGGATCAATTATTACAAAAGCGGAACATAGATTCTTGTTTTGAAGTTTCTGCATAAAACTTGCTTAGCTGCTAGTCTGCTGACTTCTTTCTGCTGTTGTCATTTTTCTGAACGCCAATACGTCCTTCCTTCGGTTTTGTAAGTTTTACATGATGTTATATTGACATTGGCACTGCATATGCTGATATTTTAGCACATAAGAGGATTTAATTTCGATCTTCCAGTGATTAAAAGGAAGGGGGAATATTGAAAACTGAGAGAAAGAATGGCTATATTAGTAAATCAAAGCATCCTCTTCCAGAAAAGGTTGAAATTTTCTTCTTCACTCTTTTCCTCCCCTTCTGAAATGATAACTAGCTCAATTGCTGCTGATGAGATTGCTATTGTGTGATTAATTTCTGTTCATAATTCTCATCCGATGTCTCTCTGGAAAGTCTTATTTTCCATAGTGCAAGAAGTTTTCTTGACTGCTTTTTCTGGAAACTTGAATCAAGTAACGGATTATATTCTTTTCTGACTTAGGTTTGAACAAAGATTTCTCTGATTCTGTTGAGTTGCCAAGAGATGAACTCCTTGGTGGTCTTCTTGCTGCTGGATTTGATGAAAGATCTTGTCTCAGCCGGTATATGTCAGGCATATATGGCAAAGGACTATCAGGAAAGCCTTCTTCTTATCTGATCTCTAGGTTAAGAAAATATGAAGCTCTCCACAAAGAATGCGGACCTTATACTGAATCCTATAACAAAACAGTGAAAGAGCTCAGGTCTGGTCATTTTTCTGGGTACTCAGGCTGTAAATATGTAGTTTGGGTTTCATTTAGTGGGTTAGGGAATAGGATATTGACCTTAGCTTCTGCATTTCTTTATGCTCTACTCACAAACCGTGTCCTACTGGTTGATCCTGGAGTTGATATGAAAGATCTCTTGTGTGAACCGTTTCCTGATGTTTCTTGGTTTCTCCCTCCTGATTTTCCCCTCGCAACCGAAATGCGCAATCTGAATCAGCAATCTGCTCAATGTTATGGGAAGATGCTAAAAAACAATTCAATAGCAAATTCCACGGTGCCATCTTATGTCTACCTTCATCTAGCCCATGATTATGATAATCAAGATAAGCTATTCTTCTGCGATGGAGATCAAAGTTATCTCCAGAAAGTACCCTGGTTAATCATGAAAACAGATAATTACTTCATCCCATCTTTGTATTTGATGCCTTCTTTTGAGCAGGAACTGTATGATCTCTTTCCAAAGAAGGATAGAATCTTCCATTTCTTGGGTAGATACCTATTCCACCCCACCAACAGGGTATGGGGACTTATTACCAGGTACTATGAAGCCTATTTAGCTAAAGCTGATGAAAGATTAGGCATCCAGATTAGAGTGTTTGACACAGAGCCAGGCCCATTTCAACATGTATTGGATCAAATCTTATCCTGTGCTTTGAAAGAGAATCTTTTGCCTGATGTAAATAGACATCAAGATACCGTAAGTTCATTAGAAAAGAAAAAGTTAAAATCAGTACTGATGACATCTTTAAGCTCAGGATATTTTGAAAGGGTGAGGGACATGTATTGGGAGTATCCTACAGTGACAGGAGAGGTGGTTGGCATATACCAGCCAAGCCATGAAGGGTATCAGCAAACAGAGAAGCAGATGCACAACCAGAAAGCTTGGGCTGAAATGTATCTCCTGAGCTTAACTGATGTGCTGGTTACTAGTTCATGGTCAACCTTTGGGTATGTGGCTCAAGGCCTTGGAGGCTTGAAACCATGGATACTGTACAAGCCAGAGAATCGAACAGCTCCGGATCCTCCTTGCCGACGTGCCATGTCGATGGAGCCATGCTTCCATGCTCCTCCCTTCTATGACTGCAAGGCCAAGAGAGGAACTGACACAGGTGCACTTGTTCCACATGTAAGGCACTGTGAAGATATGAGTTGGGGTCTTAAGGTTGTTGACAATTAAAGATTATTTGTGAATCATGACTATGTATGTTGACTGTCAAAACTTAGCTTAAAGGAATGCAAATTTTCACGTGAAATTGAAATTTTTTGGGGGGACGACATTTTGGAATGGATTGAGTGATTCCTTTTTCTTGTGTGCTTTCCCCCGCTCCTACGATGACCGCCAGATTTGAGCACCCTCTCTCTAGAGATTATCGTCGTCTTCGGATTTGTGTTTTTTCATTTATTCGTGTTAGATAAAACTTGACATAATTTTGTTCCTATTAAGCTGTTTGATGAAAATAAGAGAAGGGAGATATTTGGGGACTTAGCCTTCTACACTTAATATATATTTATACACCTAACCGTTACCAATCAAATCATAACAAGTAGATTTTAAGGCAGGAGTTGGGGTCTTAACCCTTAAGGATGTTGGTATTTAAGGTTATTTTTTGTTGTTATGATTGTGTAAGTTAATTATTTGATTATGACGGTCAAAACTAGGCTTAATGCTATACAAATTTTATTGCGCAAATTGCTTTTTTCAGTGTTATTTTCATGCGCGTTTTGCCCAGCCGGCACAAGCCACGTAATAAATGGATTTGAGTACCAACGTACTGTATTTTGAGAAAGAAGGGTCTTTTCGGTTTATATAAAATGTTTTTGAAGTTTTTTAAAAATACTTTTTGCTATCAAGTTCTTGGATGAAGATGTGAGCGTTACTTGAACTTTATAGCAATTATTTGCCACTTAATATTATATGGAGAATTTTATCGTAAAGAATTAAACATCCAAACAAATTGAATAGCCAAAAATTTTTTTTAAAAAAATGGTTGTAAATAACTATACATATTGTATGCAATGTTTAACCTTTTTTCCTTTGCCATTTTTTGGAGATGGCGTTTTATTTCCATCTTCCCAATAATTGCATTTGCATGGCCGTGTTTATTTATTGGGTCAAAATTGAAGCCCAAATTTTGAAGTAACATGCCACGTGTCAGATGGTCCCTACCAGAAAGTTGGGCCCTCATGTGAACCATTGTAAACAGTTTTCAAGTCACGTCATACATGGATTGATCAGTTCGTCGCTAGATTTTTGTTCTTCTGCCTGCTTTGTTAACATATTTTCACAACGCCACCCGTTTTAATTATCATTCAAGAATTTTTTTAAACATTACAATGTTCAATATAACTAATTTAAATTCGTTATGCTAAAAGCTTTATAAATCAATGTACTAAATAAAATATATAACAGCCCACTCCTTTAATCCTATAGTTGAGAGAGAGAATATTTTTTCCTTAACATAAGTCACCTTGTCAAGTTTATTTTATAAATATATAATTTTATTATTAATTTATTGTTCTATTTGACCTTTTTTTTGAAAAGTATATAAGGATAAAATTTAATAATTGTTTAATTTTAAAATAACATTAATAAAATTTAAAGTTTTCTTTAATTATTGTAACACATATTGAAGATGTCTTATAAATAGTATTATAGGAATATATTATCTCCAGTCCTTAATGTGAGAGTTCATTTGATTTTTATTTTGGTTTTAAATATAATATTCTAATTTACTTTATTTCTCATATTTATTCATTTTCTCATAAAATAATCCTTGTAACAGTGATAGTTCTAGCCAATACATTTGATTAACAATGATATTTTAGAAAAAATAACATCTATTTATTACAAACAACTAATACAATTAATTTTCTTAATCTACTCAAACTAGTCAACTGCTACCTCTGGCCCTAATTGTAAGATCTCGTCTATAGTCTACAAACAAAGTCTTATAATTAGGACCAAAGGTAGTAACTCTTATATTAAAAACCGGGAATAGTATCTATTAGAGTCTTAATGTGTGACTGTATCAAAAGAAGTCTCATATTACTCAAGATTGGAAAAATCTTAATGTCTACCAAGATGTAAACTTGAACTAATAAAATGGCTGAGAATATGAATCTTTATAACTTACTGTTAAAAGTAACCGTTGAAGTATTTATGTGTCTTAATTAATCAGTTTTATTTTTTTTCGCAAGTCATATTCAATGGTTGTAAAATGTTTAATTCACCTTTATCAATTATTTAAAAATCTCTTTTTTAATTTTCATTAAAACCATCTTTAATCATTATTATGGCAGCCCAACGATCACATATTATCTGCCTATAAAAAACAATGTGTGGTGCACGATCAGAGTATGTTGTGTTCTATTCCTGAGCTCTCCTCCTCTCTTTTTGTTCTCTTGAGTTTTAAATTTCTATTGTTTTGTCACCCTGCTCTACGTAAGACAAGTTTGTTTAATTCTCGAAAGTGTCGCATTTCATTCTAATTTATAAGACAGAATAACTCTTAAGGACAATCTCCCTAAACACGACTCGAATCATATTTTTTATTATTTTTGCAAGTGTTGCCAATAGTAATATAGTATCATGCATGTCTAAGGTCATGAATAATTAAAAACTCCAATAATTTTATATAATATACAGAAAAGTACATCTAATTATTTAAAAAAGGTTTTCCAGCCAACCAGGATCGGTCTGAATGAACAAATAAACACACAAGGGAGTGATGGAGAATCAAATACTTAAAAAATTAAGAATAATGCTGACACGCAGCACCAAAAAGATCACTATCAATGAAAGAAAGAATATATCTCAACGTCAAGTTCAAAGCAAAGCTGAGAAAGAAACACACACAAAGTTGGGAGGCACATCCACATCGTATCAAATTCGAATAATTTCTTCTCCAAGTCAAAAACAAAACAAAAATAATAATAATTAAAAAAGAGAATTAAATAGGACGTTTAGGAAATTGCCAAGCAAGCAAGTAATTATACAAAATGCCACGCGTGTTCCCAATATTGCTCACCAACTACTAATAATTTTCACTCAACACAAACACTATACATACCATACACATATATTGGAGACTACTATTTCACTTTAATTTTCAGTACAATAATCACAAATAATGCTTTTAACACTAACCTCTGAAAATAACTTTGTTTAAGCATCTGCCCACCTCTGAAAATAACACGCCTTCATCTTTTTTATAAAGTTAGGTGTATAATTTTTTCAGCACTGTTTCTTTTTTTGTTTTTTTTGTTTTAACCTCATCTGCATTATTTTTCTTTTCTGTTCAGAGATTATTGCTTGATGTGGATTTCTGGGGGAATGAGATGCGTTCTTACGTTCTTACCAATTGGAAGCATGCTGATAATTTGTATGAGGTTGATTATAGAATGGGTAATTAGAGGTAATTATTTTAAAATATTTTGGAGTGAGTAAGAATGGCTATTAATAATAACTTGTTGGCCGAATTCAAGATTTGCGAATGATTATCAACACTGAGAAAGGTTGGTAAATTCAGTTCCAAACTATAAATTTTAAATTAAAAAAAAAGGTTAGTTGCTGATTAATCATGAGATATTACTTCTTTTAAATGAAGGTATAGGTGGAAAATATTAATAAATATTTTGAGTAAAGACTTTTTTTTGTATCCCTCAAAACAAGTGTGCTTTTCTATATTAAAAATTGTGTTATTCTCTTTACACGGTCCTTTATCATCTCAACCAATAATTTATTGGTTAAATAAAGGCTATTTGTTTCTTATAAAAAGGAAAGAATGAATTCTCAAAAAACTGTTTTTATGAATAACAAGGGAGGGGTATCTATTAGACAAGCAGGCCCTAATAATAATGGGGAAAATGAATTAATTTATTGAGCTACGGACAAAAATAAAGAAAGACATCAAAGTGTTGTAATCAAATATTTGTCACATTCTCAAAAATTGGAAAAATAGAAGGTTGTGACTTTGCGATCAATAATTTCGGAAGTAGGAAAGCCCACAAATCAGGGACCATTTGCCTGCTTAAGACAAATGTCCAACACATGCGGTGGCTCCATTCATGCCCCACTCCTCCATTAATCAATTAATCATCATATATTTTGCTTCCATAATCTTTGATTACTTTATTCCTCACCCGTTTCATGCCAAAAAAAAAACCTTATTTTCTTCAAGGCTAATCCCATGAATCCACATAAAAATAGGGAAAATTACATACAGGTCCCACAGAAGGCAATTTATTACTCTGAGATCCAACGAAATGTCAAAATCACTGACAGGTCCCAAGGGACCTCAGAGTAATATTTTCGATTTGTAAAATGACATTACTGCCCCTCATATTCCAGACTCACATTTGCTCTGTCATTGCGATTTACAACCTCAGCAACGACTATTAACAACCCAATGAGAGAGCGTTAACAACCCTAGCAGTATCCGTTAACAACTTACTTTATAGAATCATATAACCTCCACATAAGAGTAAATTATAACCAAATAGTACAATACAACAACTTTAACACTAAAATGGGAAGCTTTTTGATATCATTAAGAATTTTAAATAGATCCAATAAGATTATAGTAATATTTTAATACGAAGATCTATTTACAACCTCAACAGCGACTATTAACAACCGAATGAGAGGGCATTAACAACCTAAGCAGTATCCGTTAACAACTTACTTTATAGAATTATATAACCTCCGCATAAGAGTAAATTATAACCAAATAGTATAATACAACAACTTTAACACTAAAATGGAAAGCTTTTTGATATCATTAAGAATTTTAACTAGATCCAATAGGATTATAGTAATGTTTTAATGCGAAGATCCATTTACAACCTCAACAGCGACTATTAACAACCGAATGAGATGGCATTAACAACCTAAGCAGTATTCGCTAACAACTTACTTTATAGAATCATATAACCTCCATATAAGCGTAAATTATAACCAAATAGTATAATACAACAACTTTAACACTAAAATGGGAAGCTTTTTGATATCATTAAGAATTTTAACTAAACCTGATAGGATTATAGTAACATTTTAATGCGAAGATCCATTTACAACCTCAATGGTGAGTATTAATAACCCAAAGAGAGCTATTGACAATCTAGGCAGTATATGTTAACAACTGACTTTATAGGATAATATAACATCTAACAACTATATAAGATTAACTTTAAAACTATTTAGTTATAATTTAGTTAGTTATAGTTAGAAGTTATATTATCCGATAAAGTTAGTTGTTAACAGACACTGCTAAGGTTGTTAACAGTTCTCCTTAGATTATTAATAT